CGATATAGTGACAGACTGGCTAGACACCGGAGCAGACTAGCGAGAAGATTGCTTCCTGCGAGACCACTAAGGCGATTAAAACGCTTGGGTTTTGCCAAAAATATGAGATAAGTCGTTTAGGGATACTTGTAAATATATATTTGTAAGTCCTCCTGAATACATCAGAAGGTTAGGYKYTATATAAAWAWTCKAATTGTGTTGTTAAGGTACTAAACTTGCATTGTACAGATTCAGCGCTTAAAATATACATATATACAAAATTAAAAAAATATTGTGATGGCTCCATTTGTTTGGCTTTCGGATTAGCATCAACCATTGAAGGTCAATGAAATGTTGTAGACATCAGCGTTGCCAAAACATATGCAAATAGCAGATGTTGCTCAATTTATTTGTAATCATGCGTTCAGCTTGAAAACCGAGATACCTATATGGGAATGTTTATGAATCGCCTTTTGTAGCACACACTCTTCATGTTTACTTTATGCCTTTTTCCATGTCACTTTTCTTTTCTTTTTGCTTTTTCTTTCGCATATTGCATAACACGTCGCACTTCATTTCACTTCACTTTTGTTTTGTTTTCCGTTGTGGTCTGCTTTACCTTTTGCTGCTTCCTATAAACACTTGGGTTTGTTGTCTTTATCCTTAACGGCTTACTTGAGTCTTCAGACCCGGTGTTTTAGCTGGCTCTGAAGCGACTGTGCTGCTGCCGTTGCTCGGCAAAGATTTTATATGAAATGCGAGAAGTGTCGAGAAATAGGTGCAAGCAAAAACGTTGCTTTTTTTTTGTGCCTCAAGTCAACGCACAAACACAGACACAAACACATACGCAACGAAACAATGGGCCAGAGCAGAGCTGAGGCCCAGACACCAGCGCAAATCTACAATGCGGATAGCTGAGAGGCACTCGCCCGATCAAGCGGCCATTCATGATGATGTTAAAGAGCCGAAGACGTCAACACGCTCGCACTTGCGGTAGGTTGGGGTTTGGCTAAGCGATGTAGGTCTGTGGGCTGCGGCGTCAACGACTTCGTCGTCCGGCTGGCCGCGCGTCGCGAGCGCCTTGAGAAATCCCCAAAATTATTGTGGCGCACGTCGAGGCCTTGGGTCAAATTCGAGTTTAATTTCAAGAGCCGATGACTCACCATGCGGATCAGCGGGAAAACGTACGTCACAGCCACAGCCACAGATTATGTAATGCTGAGCACAGGTAATAATCACTTTTACTGTTCGAGCCAACTTGCGACTTGGCTGCGACTGAGTCCCGCCCACGAAACTGGGGGACAGCGCTCAATTTAAAGTCATGGCAAAATGTGAACAAACTGCTTGCAGCCACACAAAAAGTTGGGATTTACCCGCATGCAGCTGAGGCTGCAGCGTACCAATCTTTATTTTCGGTTTTTGCGTGCTCCGGCTGCTGTGTGAGCCAATTTATGCTTTCAGGAAAGCCCCCGAGAAACCAAAACTCTGATTAAATTGGGAAATTCCCACTTCAGCTGGCGTTTCTATTCCATGCGCCTTTCTGTTTGCCTCCCGTCAACGAGGGAGTTCTGCAGAGAAAATTACACTTATACGACACAGTGTCTAGGCAGAGCCGGGGCAGTAATTACCATTTGGACACAAACGCAACTCGAACGTTTCCTAGTCTGTGGGCCTGTGACAGTCATGATGCGGATTGGACAGCTCTGGCAGCTGCCATGTTGCTTAGCTTCACTTGTCATCCAATTAGCCAATGCTCTGGCAAATCGCACATTCCAGAACTGACAGATATTAAAGAATACTTAAGTGGCAGATCTGTCTACCCGGCCATGAAATCTTCATTGTAAGATTCATGTGAATCGTAGCTTAAAACATAATATTATTCGCTTCAGTTAATTCAGATTTCATACGAATTCATTGAATAAATAAATACATTTGTAGGTCAGGCAATCAATTTTAAAGCATTTCCATGAAGCCATTCGAAAGCATAAATAGGGCCAGACATACCCATTACCCAAAGGAGCAGCACTGTAGGTGCTTACCAAGAATTGCGTCTATTGGTTAAGGCAACACACATTCACACCTATCATACACCTCGCCATCAGTGTAGGGTATAATTAGATGTGCAGAACCGTGCTCACATTGCATGCTAGTTCACCCTTCCAGCGTGGCCAGCAAACTCTTTCAAGCGGAAATCAGCTGTCAGGCACATACGACTGCATAAAGGGCAGAAGCTCAGTAACAAAAGAAAATTGCAAAAATATGTTTAGTGTGGTATAATAAACAAGTCTTTCTATGTATATTCTTATTATGCAAGAGAAACTCTTAAGGAGTGAAAAATGAAGAGAAAGAGATGGAGAAACGAATGAAAACAGTGTGTGCTAGCTTATTCTATTCAATAGAATACGTCCAATTAAAGCATGAACTGATATATTTTCGTTTCCAGTAATAGACATAATACACAAGTAGGATACACACGCACACTCAACCAAAGATACATTTACAGCGAGGGTGGAGCTAATTAAAATGACTCTTGGGGCAGACTGGCAGATTGTTAAATTATTAGTTTTTTCTCATCAGTTCGTTGATACTAGTTTGTTTTTGGCTGATGTACAAATGCCGTCCATATAACTTTACAGCTTTGAAGTTGAGCGAAGTATGAAAAACAAAAATTTGAAAACATTTGCCAATCATTTTTGTCTTTTCAACATGCGGGTAGATTTTCAAAAGAATATGAGAATGTATAATAAAATAATAATTGTGTCTATGTATGAATGTTTTTGTTATATATCAAATCCAAAAGACTCATAAAAGAACCGAAAAAGGAATGCATAGATAAAATGTTTATTTTGCAGTTTTCTCGTCAAATATTTGTAAACAAAATTTACATTTCGTTTAGGTTTCACAATTTTTCATTAATACTTACATTTCTCCCACTCCTGTCCCATTTTTTATGAGGCCCCTGGGAAAAGTCCTAAGCTATAGCTTAATGAAAATCTGGTCGTTAACTTTATACTACAGATTAGTTTTTATTCATTTTGTATAGGAGCTTAAAGAGCTTAAAGCAATTCAGGCTGACTAAGTAGATATAACAATATTA